CCCATTTAAAATTTTTGACAAAGAAGCTTTCAATGACAGAGTAATTTCTTTTTACATTATTCTACCAGAAGACTGAGATACATTTTCATACTGTCTTTCAGTACATAGATGGGTGTTTTGTAGTGGAATTACTGCTCTAAGTACAAACACAAAAAAAGTTCCATGGTTTGCAAATAGATGGAACAGGAAAATGAAAGTAAAGAGAGTGTAGGAAGAGTTTATCTAATGGTTACTCAGTGGACCTGTGAGAGAGCTGAAACTGGACATTAATATTGTTCTGGTGCCTATTTGTCCTTCATCATATTGCTTAACAGAAATGTTGTAATTTTGTCCAATTTTGTCTCATCTGACTTTTATTTTACACCCTCCCCCCTTCAAGAAGTTACCATGCAACTGAGTTTTTAAATTACTGAAATGCTACATTGCTACTTGTGTTTGAAAAGCCCACAGATTAGATTACATAAAGTTAAAATGAAATAAAGCTGGTGGTGGATGAGAGATTCCATCATTTTCCTATAAATGAATCTATATTAAAAACCAGCTCAACACAAAGGAATGAACCTGCACTTCAGGAAAAGCTATAGTGTTAGTATTTTGATATCATAGGAAGGTTTGATTATTGAGCCCATTATCATATTTATCACAGTTTAAATACAACTGTGAGACTGTGATATCATATTCTTATAATATAGTTCTTTGGATTTTCTGAAGAACACCCAGACACTCCAAAAAAAAATTGTTCAAAGAGGTGCAGTCCTTAAAGAATGGTTTTTTAGAAGGGTGAGAAATTCAAGCCCAAACACCAGCCTCTCCTGAAAATAGGCAATCTAAAAATTGAGTGCTTTGATATATCAGCACACAAGCTGTGCTGGGAGAATACAACATTGTGAGAGACACAAAAAGACAAGTGAAACAGTTGTGTTTTCTAACACTCAAAGAGGCACAGATTCAAGTTTAATAGTACCAGTCTAACACCACAAAGATTGCACAGAATTCCCTTTACTTATACTAGAATTTAGCTTTTAAATATAAATAGTAGGAAAATGTGATTAATAGAATTCCAAATAATTTTAATATGAGTTTAAAGAAATTGTTATGCACCATTGAGACCAGAAATTTTGGTCAGTTTTCCCCCAAACTTATCTATGAACCACTGAATGCATTTTAATATGCAGCATTTTGTTCAGTAGGCTTTTGAAAATAATATGGAGAATACAACTGGCACTTTCAGCCAGAATTATTCATGGAGCCCTCATGAAAAATGAGTTCAGGCTTAAAAGTAAAATGCATCTTTTCTAATTTTATGTGAAATTCCATAGCTCCATGTAATGTAATCTTCATTCCATAATGGGGGCTCCTATTTAGTTAGCAAATAATAACCTCTCTAAATTACATATCTCCTACAGATCTTAGGATTGGATAGGAACAACCTCCCGGTGGGTTACAGATAGGAAACCTCACTGCAAATGAGAAATACTTATTTTCATCTTCTTCTTCAACCCTTGATTCAGCTATTCAAAACAGAAAATCACAACACAAACACCAGCCCTAACAAACCTTGGCAGCACTGAGCTACTGCTGTTCTGTGTTATCAATCAGCTGTCAAAATGGAAAACTTTCTGTGTTCAGACACTATTTCCAACTGTGCACGTGGTGCTCACAGTAGATGACAGTGCAAGAATTAAATGTCACTTGAATACCAGAAATACTGGTGGGAAATAAAAGGGGTGGGAAATAAAGGAGTGATCATGATTATACAAGAAAATCCAATAGGATTGCAGTGGCAAGCTTTGAATTTGCAGTGAAAGTTGTCTCCCTGCAAGATATGGTTTTTCCAGTGTATGCTGCAAATTTCCTTCATCTATCTGTCAAAGCAGCATCTGAACTGTATTTCCAATTATATAAAACTATGCGTCTTCTCAGAAAAGTTTTCCTTTCCTTGAAAAGCAATGCAGAAAATTAAGGAATTACTGTACTAAAAATTAATACATCCATATGTGTCTATATAAAAAAAGTGACTGATATTTAGAATACTTTAAAAAATGAAGTATTGAACACCCAAAATCAGTTTTCAGACATTATCAGAGAGCAATTCCTGAAGTATAACTACTAGGTAAACAATTTGCTGAAAATAAAAAAAACTTTTGAGAAAATTGCTTGCAGATGATTTCCAAATTAAAAAAGATGTACAATTCACTGTAGCATTTGCTTCAAATGATACAACCAACTAATTATAAAGTAGTCTCTTTCAACATGAAATAATTAATACAGCTGATTAGCATACACCAATAGGTGAGAAAAATTAAGCTTATGAGTGAATTATGAAAGGAAATCTGAAAGTAATTACAATGGATTTTTTCCCCATATTCTCTCTATGAAGAGAATGTTATATTAGTACTATATAAACTCATTTTCACCTCTGTCTCTGATAAGACAAGCAGAAAACTGTTACACAATATCACCTATTTCAAATAACACCAGATTTTACGCTTTTTTTTTAAATCCAGGAACAAATGGGTAAAGAAATAAAAAATCCCAAACTGATTCTTTACAATGGACGAGTCATGATAAAAAAGGCTAAAAAAGGACATTTGCATTGTCTATCTTGTTCTGAAAATAGTACTGGACTGTGTGTAACAATGAAAGCAACACTCTCATTTATCACATGTTGAAAATATAAGCAAACAATCTAAGATCTCTGTTTGAGTATGGGTATACATGTATTTATCTCAAGCTTTTTGTCTTCCTGGAAAGCCTCCACAATTTCAGTCATTTGGATGAGGTATTATATAGGGGAATATGAATGATACCAACTTATTGAAGAGATGGATAAAGAGCTGTCCAGGAGATTTTAAGTAACAAAAAGGTATTTTATAATAAGAAATCTGTGCAACTGTTCAAGTTGCAGTTTTCTGCTGCAATTCAGCAGCTGTTCATTACAGTCTGGAGATGTTTCAATTATCACCTCTGTGCTGTCTGGCTATAAGGTCATTGAAGACTCCTTTTAAAAAGTTGCATCAAGTTTCCTAAAGCAAATATTTAGAGAACTGTTCAATTGTGTCACCCTCTCAGAAAATCAGGATGTTGACTTTCTCCCTTCTTTGATGGTCATCTTCATGACAATATTCCTGTGAAATACAGTCCTTCAGGGAGGGATTGGGGATAAACTGCTCTGGATCTCCTCCTTTAATTTATGCTTTCTATTGAAAGTTCAGAATTCTGGTGCATTCAGCAAGAGTTGTCAGTGCCTTCAACACTTGCAAGTTATTCAGCAAAGCTGGCTGTCACCCAGAGACTCTGCACTGTCAATTTGCAAGCAGGTTAAATCAAAACAGTTTAGTGATAACTTACACCCAGAAATTTATTGCAATGATCAAAATTGCTTTCTTGCATTTGGAATTAAAAAAAAAAATTAAAATTATAGGAAATCATTAAAAAGTATTCTTTCACACTACCACTGACCATAAAGGTAGGAATTTGGAGGACTTGTGAAATAGTGGAATGATAGCTTGAATCAAGCTTCAGAGTGCTGGTTAATATCTCATTAACTTTGCTAGTGAAGGAATCAGCCCTTTCTGATTGATGTCTTAATTATGTCCTAAACAAACCATAACGTAGCAATTTCATAAGCACTGGTACATTTCCCTTCCCTCACAGCAGCAAAGAAAAACTGTTCTCTTACATCCATTCCTTACTCTGTAAATTAAAAGGGGAAAGATATTTGCTTGATAAATGTAGGAGACACATGCATGATAAAATATACAAAATTATCAGCAGAAAGATGTTCCACATAAATGGCATCAAGTGACCTTCTGTGAAGTTTGAATAACTGTATGACATAGAACTGCTTCAAAAATGAGACAATTGAACAAATTTCTGAACAAATTTACATAAAACAGTTTTTAATGCAATTCCAAGCGAGTCTGTTAGATTATTAAACAGCGAATTTAATAATTAACAGACAGTCCTTTAAGTTTATAATGTAGCTGGAATAACTTCTATTCTAGGAAAAAAATTAATAGAATGAATTCTGCTTTAATCTACATTTTCAGGATTTTACTGAAGTTGCATTTTTAATATTTCTTTCTGCTGCCTTCAGCCTGGAACAAATAAACCTACAGGCCCAGTGCCACCAAATTGTGTGAGGCTTTGACCACATTGAGGCTCATGGATTTCTCAGGCTAAATTATATTAAATCACCTATGCAGCCATTCAACCTCTTGTTACTTCCCCAGAGCCTCTTCAGGAATGACTGCAGGGAGAAACTGTTTGATGACCTCCCTAGTGAATGAATATTTTTGGACTTTCCTTTATGATTACTCTTGTTTTGCCCACCCACTTACAACATCAACTATAATAAGGCTATTTAAGGTAATTACTACAGTGTAAATGAAACCCACATTTGTTATTCACATACACAAAGCTGATGCTCTGCTTAACAGAGCAAAAACCTTTGTGCCTCAGGAGGCCACTGACTGATAGGTGACTGAGAAATGCAGTTCAGACATTTTAATATGTGCCTCTTTAACCTATTTTTGGGGTTTTTGAGGCACACAGGATGCGGCTGCACAGCAGGAGCATCCACACAGCTGCTCTTTGGTATCCGGATCAATAAGCCTGTCAAAATAATCAAAGATATCCCCTTGGTCATGCAAAATACTGGGATTTCCAAGCATAGGTGTGACACCAGGATTCACAGTGCTGTCCTGGAGCTTGGTACAACTCCATCCACATTCACAGCAGCAGTCTTTTCACTGAATTTCATACCAAAATACATCCCCACTCGTTCAGGCCTCAGGAAGTCAGTCACTTAATTCAGCTCTGCTGATGCCATTGGATTTATAAGGATGTGTTTTTAAAAATATTGGGAGAAACTAGTTTGAGGTTACAAGTGGCACCTCATAAAGTTTTTCTCTGGGTTGACAAACAATAGTTTGGAACAAGGGGAGTAGGTCTGACAGACTGGACTGGCTCTGTGGTGTTGCAGTTGGATCACTGACCTGGTAAGGGGAAAGCTCAGTCCCTCATCTCCACACCAGTCTGCAGCCTGTGATTACTCCTTGATCCCCCTTTTTCAGAGAAGAAATCAAAGTATGGATTGGAAAATCACAAAAGCAATGTACAATGGTCCAAGTTTTCAATTCTCACATCTCTTAGTCAGAAATTCACCCCTAAGCCCAAGAAAATTACTCGTGTTGATATCGCTGTGTTTTGAGAAAAGCCTCAAATTTTATAAAGATTTTTTAGTGAAAACAGTACAATAAGAATACATCATTAACTCCTATTTAGTGTGATGTGAATGCACCATAATGACCACCCTCTGTTTCATGAAACCTGCTGAAAGAAACTCCATATATGAAACACAGAAGCTTGGAACATTCTGCAGTGTGCACAATAGTTTGAAACAGGAAAAAAATGCTACTGAAGTCTTTACAGTATTAAGATATGAATAACGAACATAAACATATACTGCATGGTGAGTAATGAGCATAAAGCTTTCATCTTTCTTCATGGGAAATCCTATGGAAGGCAAATTAACCCATAGAGACCATTGTAGGAACCCATACCACACCATTTGAGAAAGCTTTCTTTTATCCCAATAGCTGGCAACAAAATATATGCATTTACAACAGATTTCTTTTTTTTTTTTCCTTTTAATCTGTAGCTAACTGCAGTTTTAAAGCCTCTCATTTGTTTAACTACCAGGCTGAACAAGGAAAGTTGGCATTTAGAAAAAGAAAATAAATCCAAATCCAGTTAAATTTGGCACCTTCCTTGTTCGTTTTTCCCCAACAGTCCTGACTCACGAGTGGTTGTTCTCCCTTCTCTTCAGATCCCTCTCTAAGCTCTCTCACCAGGATTTCAAAGTTAGATGATCAAATGTGCGAGAGAGGCACCTAATTTCTCACAGGCACTTCTGAAAGCTCCTCACTAGGTCTACAGTGAACAATTTTCTTTCTCTTCCCCTGCCCCCACCTTTTTTTTCCCTGGCCTTTGATCTTTAGAAGGCACAAATGCCATTACAGTGAATAAAGTCATGGGCCTGTTTACCTCCCCCTTCCCCAGCCCAGCCAGGCTGCGCCAGCCGGGTTCAGAGACATCGCAGGTATCATCAGCACCGTGACAAATGAGAATGTGTGTCAGGGGAGGCTGTTCAAACAAACACTTGGATGCTTGGGAACACAGACAGAAGAGCTAAGATCTAGCTGCTTTTTTTCTTTTTTTTTTTTTCCTTCTTTCTCTTTTCTTTCTCCCTCCGCCTTCAGAACAGAAGATTATGTTTGCTGTGAACATGAGCTGATGAAAAGAATTCAAATAGTGCTTTGAATAGTGCCACTGGGAGTGTCACAGGAGAATTACAAATTGCTGCTGGAGACACCAGTCTCCCTTTACAGAAAGTTAACATAAAAGTACACATATCTTCTTTCTATAAGGTACTAACTTGTAAATTAACCTTTAATGGAGTATAAATGATGTCCTGAAAGAACTGCTTATGCAGCTATATTTATGATCTAGAAAATTGCAAATATTTACAAGATTATAGGTGTTAATGGTCTGTCAAAAATGTTTGTATATTGTACATACATTAAACCTCAGTTTAAGACCACCCTGCTATAAAGACCACCCCATTTCTTGTCCCATATAGAATTTCATTTGATTCCATATATTCCATTCCTTATAACGAGGCTAGGCCCCAGCATTCACCCAAACCATTCCAGACAGGGAACTGCTCCTCTGCAGGATCTACTGTGAAGGAGAAGAAGTTTTAGCCTCTGTTCCCAGATTCCCTGTGCAGCTCCCACCAGCCAGGGTTATCCTGGCCATTCCCCCTCCGTCAGAGGCTGAAGAACATCTCTGACAAAGCAGAGCAGAAAGCAAAGCAGAGCAGGAGGGGGAGGCACACACAGGCTCAGGAGGGCTGGCAGTGTTTCACTGCCCTGCAGGGATCAGCTCCACCTCCCAGCACTCCTGCCTCAGTTTCCCCGCTGGGGTACGTGCCCATGTTTTAGCAGAGCACCCTGGGTCTCACCGTGTCCTCCTCACTGCTCAGCCCAAGCTCAGCCTGCTCTCTGCCCCTGCCTTTTTGCTGCTGTCCCCAGTTGTAACTTCCCATTTTCTTTTCCTTTTTCTTTTTTTTTTAAATTTTTTTTTCTTTGAGGTTTTCTATGAGTTTAACAAACAGTGAAATAAAAAGAAAATATCCCCTCTTTGAGTTAGTTCTGTATTTGTCACTGTCTCAATTTCTGCTTTATAAATAATTATTCATATCTCTTTTCTGGGCATAAGTTATAGCAACAATAATTTCAATACAAGCCAAAATATATTTGCTACTCAAAATGAGACAATAACTTGTGCTCCGCTCTCTGTTCTATTACAGCTTCTTTTCTGGGAAATTGAGTGACTTTCTTTGTTAGAAATTTGATCTCAACTTCTGAATTGAAATTTCTTTCTCTGAAAACATTACAGAATAAAAAACAGTTGGACCTTGTCAGTTGTGATAATGAAATTTCAGAAAGGTCAAACTTTGAATTTTGAAAGAGGAGAAACTTTTTTTTGGAAACACACATAATCAAAATGTTACAGTTTTTTAATACTTGTTTTACAAACAGCATTGAATTCACACATAAATACAGCTGGGGAAAAATAAATACTTTGGGAACAAATACTTGGGGCTCTGCCCAGGTTTTATTGCAACAGATTATTTTTATTTTTTTTTAATTTATCATTTGCTGTGCATTATCTTGCTCAATGACTGGAAAAAAGAAAATGTTCTTCTTTAGGATAAAAAGTCAAAGGAAAACTTGAAAAGGGTCTGTCCTCCCTGACCTCATGCACATTTTTATTGATATCAAATTGCTCATATTTTTTTGCCCTGCCATTTTCATTTTTATACCTGCTGGGTCAGATCTTCAAATGATGTAAACTGGCATTGGCCGAATGGTTTCCATGAAAGCATCAGAGTTGAGGATCTGGCATTAATTACTGGGGATTGTCTTATCCAGTGAGATAATGTAAAAGCAGTTCCCTGCCGAGCTAGAAAGACACTGATCTGTAAGTTAAGTACAGAGATAGGGCTTAAGTGAGGTGATTTTAGGGAAAATTAACTTCAGAGATTTTACACAGATCTTCAAATGCCATAATCTGTGCCAAGAGAACACACAAATTATGAGACAGTTGATTTTCTCAAAAACACAGGATTCATTTGGATAGCTTGATGAAATGATGCCATTTGGAATTTTGTGTTGTTTTACACAGAATGAGTTGGCTTATATCGGTTTGGCTGCTAGAAGTGGTGGAGAAAAAACAAAGATTAAATATTTTTGGTTTTCAAGCATTGGTTTTTTAGCAGACATAACCAGATACATTACAAGGTTCCCAAATATTCCTCTCATTTCGAGTGCTTAGTTTCAATGAGTTTTATCTCTGTCTTCTAAGAGTATTCAATCAAAGGGGTTTTTTATACAAGTACCTGGAAAAACTTCAGTATTTTATTTTCATCAGGTTATCTCCTGGTGTGAGGGATATCCAGAGAGGAGAGATACAAAGACCAACATCTGCAGGTTAATGAGAGGTTTTGTTGTAGGCAAACACTGCACATGTCACATTTTCTGTGCTTCCAAGGGGTATTTCCCAGTAAACCAAAGCATTATAAACTATGTATTTATAACCCTGCTGCAGAAAAAACAAAACCACCACATAATGATGAGTCTGGGTCCACAAACATTGAAGGCTCTACCATCAATTTCTAAGGATGAACACAATGACCTGAGAAGCCTCTTAATTTTCTCTGATCATCAGGGCACTGAACTATACATTTCCATGAATATAATTTGTATTTTTGCTTCCAATACTCCCCCTGGAAGAGTCTTTTCCACCAGCAGATGGTCACATCCTGATTTACCTTTTGTAAACCTACGTATTTGGGGGTAGTTTATATTATGCTGATTTTTTTCCAGTATGTTTGTTTGGACATGTATATCTAACTCAGGTGTAGCTCCTGTTACTTATACAGAAAGTGATTGTGGACTTTGAATCAATTGATTTCCAACAGCAGTGGAAAGTCTTTATGTGATTCAAGTTTTTCCTCTGTAATAGGAGGATAAGAACTCCTTCCTTTCCTCTCCTCTCTGTGTTCATTTTCAGACTGCAAATTCTTCTGGGCAACAATTCTGTTAATCAATGCTGGCTTAGTGCCTACTAAAATGGGTATCTTCTCACAGTGGGGTACTACTACACTACAAAAAAAAAATGAAATATTACTGATGGTAAAAATACAGCTCATCGACTAAAGGTGCATGAAAAGAATTTCATCCTGTAGGACATCAAAGTTCTTAAAAATTCATATGTCAAGTATTTCCATCTGAACTAAATTAGTTTTGTAGAACTAAGATTTCATGGCAAATAAAAATAGTATATCATCTTAATAAAAGCATCATGTGCAAAGGGAAAATAAAAGCAAGAAAGATATAATTTTATAGTACTTGCACAGTTCTTCTTACTCTCCACTGAAATTCAAAACTACCAAAGAAGCAGCCATCAACAGCCACATAATCAATCTCCTGCAAAGTTGGTGCTGGTCTCCAACTTGTTTGATACAAAGGACAGTGGAAACAATAGGAAAGTTTGCAGGAGTGTAGTAAATAACTCTAATGCTTTGAATTGCAAAGGGTAAGCAGCCTACCAAAAGTATTTATCAAAGTCATATTGGGGGAAAGAAACATCACCAAAGAGAACAGTGCAAGCCAGATGCTTGGAGATTAAATGGGGTCAAAAATGCAACCCTAATTTTCATAACATCCTCATAAAAATTCACAGGAAACTGCTTTCTGAACTTGTTTTGAAAGAGATTTTTTTGAAAGTTAAAGGGGAGTTACAGATTGAGATTCTATTGAATGAAGTCAGAATTACAGAGGAAGAGAAAAATAACCTGTTCATTAAATAAAAACATGAACATAAAAATCAATACAGAACAATGGCTAAGAGTAGCCGACAGTCATGTCCAGACTTGTGAGATCAGATTTACATTTTCAATTTGCACTTGTGTTGAAGGTTC